GAAATTTCTATAATTGGAATCAATTTTGTACAACTAATTTGTTAAAGTACGGTTGCTATGAGAATATTGTTATCGTACTTTTAAGAAAAATATATTTATGATATTCGTATTGACTTTCAATAAGGTCTTTACTCCTTATAACAACAATTATGACTTGATATAGAATAGAAGTGATAAACAATAAAATAAAGAAAAAATATTCAGATTTTATGTGGAAAATCCAAGATGGAAAAAATCACAACTAGATGAGGATAATTCACTATACCAAATAAGAAATTATAAATAGAAAGATTTGGCTAATGTGGTACCAAATCAAAAAAGTGAGTTTTCTTGTACAAAATAAATAGCAGTATTTATAGTTTAAGCAATACTTCTTTAAAGAAAAAAATTAAAATGAAGCCAATCAAACAAGTGAACTCAAATTGTAATATAAAGGATGTTATATTATTGATCAAATGGTATAAGCCTTCAATCTGTATGCTCAAAGTTTATTGATAAGACAAGTATAACCTACAAAATTAGAGTAATATGTAGGGATACCCAACCAAATCTCTTGTGAAGTTTTGTTTTCAATGGCAATAAAAGAAGAACAATTCATCATGTAGTATGCTGTAAAATCGGTTTTAGGACAAAATGACTTAGGTAGCATAGCATTATAGAGTATGCAATGAATCTTCTCCATTTAATCATATCCATTCATTCTGCCACATTATTTTATTATGGTATGTTAAACAATGAATTCTTTCAATATTCCTTCTAATTTATAGGAGTGAGTAGAACTCCAACCTATTGTCTATGCAAAAATATTTTATCTAATTTCTAGTTGGCTTCTTAGTCATAATCTCCCACTCCATACAATTAGTAAAATATCAATCTTCTTTTTTAAGAATAAAACCAAAACCTTTCTAGAGAAGTCATTCCTAAGCATTAGTCTTTGGATGGTAATGTTGATGATCCTCAAAAGACAGAACGTGTTTAGTTTGATATTTCCTTAATAATATGAATGATGATGTTAAACTTAACTCTTTTCTATTTTTTAAATGCATGGTGTCCGCAGAACTTCAGTTTAGTAATACTCTAACCATTTAAAACTAATCTTTAGTTCAATTTAACCATCTCATTCTCGCTCATATGCCCATGACGCATTTGCCAAATTGTGGTTGCTTAAATACCTGACATCTCATACTCATAAGTAGTTATTGTTGCATGTCCTACTATTATACAATTTTAAAGAAATCCAATAACCTTCTTATATCTATAATAGAGCCTTTGTTGACCTTTAAAACTCCAATTTCACTAGAGTAATTACACCCTTTAACCTCAAGAGTACTTGAAAAAATTTTAATTCCTTTTCAGACCTTGAATATGTCTAGCATCTTTAAGTATTCTTATGATTTTGTCAAACATTTTGATTTGAATAGTTCCATTAACAATTATCGCATAAAAAACATTATTGTTCTTTTGCACATTTCCTTTTGAAACCATTCCATATGTTAAAAACTAATCTAAGTTGAGACACAAATAAAACGTGTAGTTTGAATAAAAAACTTTATCATTACAAGGTTCACTATCAAAGACAACTAGGAGTTCACCATCACTAGAAACTTCTTCAATAATATTGGCTTCACCAGAATGATTTGATGTTTACCTTTTTATTAGAATTTTTTTTTTATTCTAGATCATGTAACATTTAGCCTTGATGTGTCCCTTTGCCTTATAGTAATTACATGTCTTAAGTTTATTTCTAAATTTTGATCTAATATTCTTATCATCATTAAAACACCTTTTTTGAGTTCTACATGGAGTGAAAGGGCCTCTCCTTGAATAATAGGTTCTTCCACTAGTTGTTCATCTTCTTTTTTAAAAAATAGGGTATTATATATATATATATATATATATATATATATATATTGTGGAGGTGTGTGAGCAGTGGCGAGAATGGGGG